GCATTTATTTTCACCCCTAGCATGTTGATATTCTACAGATGGGCAACTGTGATTTATTTTAATAAACTACAAGTTTCAGCTGCTACTAAGTACTGAAATTTGTTGCTCTCAAATTTGTATTTTTATCACTTTACCATACTGCCCCTTTTTAACTAATGTGAGTTCTAGACTTATAATAATATGTGACTTAAATGTTTAATTTTCTCTTTCAAAGTGTTGGTAGAATGCATGATGCTGGGTTTGTTTGTTTTTTTTAGCTATTTTCTTATCACAGAATATGTTTTTTGTTTGTTTCTTTTGTATTTTAGGGAAGTGTCTACAGGGTGTTCAGGGAGAGCTGGGATTACAGGTACAGGACACTACGCCCAGTCTCCATTGCCCTCTTAGCGTGCCCTGGGGGGTGGGCGGCACAGCAGGTCCAGGGATCGAACCCTGGCCCTTGCACTTGCTTGCAGGTGCTTTAATCTGATGAGTTATTTGGCTGATCCAACCACTAATAATTTAAACTTCATAAAATGAAACAAAAACTAAGGGAAAATTAGTTTTCATTGACGAAAATAGTTGTGGAGGAGGAAACATTTTGTCTATCTAAAGAGTAAAATCTTAGAACATGAGCAGGTTGCCCCCCTCCCCTGCAAAATGCTAAAGATGTGAAAGCTGAGCTAAAATAAAGGCTCCTTTTGTAATTTTTCTGTTTACTTAGAGCTTGTCTTTCTTGTGCCCTGAATACATGCACTTATAGTTGAATGTATGATTTACATAATGAAATAAGATATTAACCTGTTGAAAAAATATTTGCGGGCCTATTCTATACTAGGTTCTGCTGTAAATGGTAGACATACAGTACAGAACAAAGAGCAAAGTCCTCGCTCGCCCTGATAGATCTTCTGTTTTTAAAGAGACAACCAGAAATTAGAGAATAGATATGTGGTATTATGAGTTAGAAAAAGAAAAAAGCTGCTCTTTTGACCAAGATGGTCTAGAATGCCGCCTCTTACAAATCTGAGGTAAGGGAGGGGCACAAGCTCTGTGATGCCCGGTGTGAGAGCATGTGGCTGGAGCGGCGCCCGGCACATGCGTCCCTTTGCATTATCATTTATTTTCAGACTGTGTCTCACGAAGGTTCCCAGGCTGGCCTCCGATTACGGCACATGCCACACTGCCACACATGGCTGGGCATTTTAAGCAGAAAAAATTAAAATTAGAAATACCCTAAAGTAGGAGTATGTCTCATTGGAAAAATGCAAAGAGGCCAGTAGTTAAGATGGTAGATGATGAGGGACTAGATTTTTGTTCTACAGGTAAACCAAATAATTTTTCTGTATGAGTGGTAATTATGGTCTATTGAACTTTGATATTTCTAAGTACTTTTAATTACTCAGATTTACATTTAAAGTGGCTAATAGGAGAACTGTCTTTTATACATGTATTATGTAATTTGAAATTATAATAAACTAAAATAATTTCTAAGATACTATATAGGTTTTTTGTACTCATAGAGTATATGTTTAAGGACCCCCTTTATCACTGACACCTAAAAATATGTATTTTAAAGTTATTTTAAATTAATATCTTAATGTAGAAGTCCCCAAAAGTAGTAAATAATAATTATTTATAGCTCTATTAAAACAATTTTGAAGTGATTATAGGTTATACTTTCTAAATAATTTAAAAGGCAGTTGAAATTTGTCACTGGCAAACTTTGTTAAGCGCTATGGTTTCCTGGGGTAACAGAAACCTCTGGGGGCTTCAGTGAAATAGTTTATTTTTCTGAGAGAAGCATTCAGAGTGGTGTGGTGACATTCATAGAGCTGAGTTGTCATCTTCTGTTATGCTTAATCCAACCCAAGCCCTGGGTCTAGTGCTGGCTTGAAGTTTAGCCACGTCTCCAGCAAGCAGGATAGAGGAAAGAGAAGCTGTTCTTTTGAAGACTGACAGAAATTGCACATAACACTTTGATTTTGGATCCTGTTGACCACACTTCACACACACAGTCACATGGTACTATAAAAAAAGGAAGTGTTTACCATGGCACTCTGAACCTCCAGTTTTGGGGAGTCTCGTTACTAACAAGAAGGGCCGAGGGTCATTGTAGGCCCATTAGGCTACACCACAGAGCTTTAGACAGTAAGGAAAAAATTAGTTTTATAACATTGGGGCTTTTGTCTCTTTTTTTCCATATTAAAGTTTAAATCACCCAATAGACTATATATTCCCTGTGGGTTTTTAAATAGAGGAGTTGTCCAGTGACCTGTCACCTATCCCTTTCTCTGCATTCTGCTGTCACTAGGAAGTCAGCATTAAGGTAGCAATTAAGAGTGTCAAGCCAGACCACCGAGGTGTGAAATCCGGCAGTACTGCCCTACTAGAGATGTAACCTTGGACAAGGGAAGGAGAGTTTTGTGACACAGCTTCTTCACCTTAAAGTGGAAGGAAATAGTACCGTACATATGGGATTGTCTTCAAGCTTGAATAACGAGCTGTAAAGAATTTGGAAGAGCTCCTGACTCACAGTAAACCCCAGATGTTGTTAGCTATTACCATTAGGTGGCAGGTTTCTAGGGAAAGTACTTTTAATTATAACTAATTATAATTAAGTAAAACATAAATTTAAAAGTTAATAGTAAAGTTATATAAATATTATCATTGTGGTGGAAGAAAAGTAATTGGATAATTACAAATAAGTCTACATTTGTTTACTTCACTCTGGCATATTAGTTTTATAGATTTATGATTCTGTGTGATAGGCTGCATGTTAGACCATATGTACAAATGTATGTACAAGCAGTATTTTTCTTTTGAGTTTCATCCATTGTTATTCCTTTTAAGTTCATTCAGAGCCAAGATGCCAAAAGAGTATTGGGAAGGAAAAGATCTTGTTACTTATGTCTTGGGATAAATTAACCAAACAGTGAACCTATTAAAGAATAATTACATGGTAATTGAAATTTGAGTCTTTCAAGATAAAAATAGGACTCAGGAAAAGGGCTTTATTTATTCTGTTGTTCCAGGAAGTCTTGTTTGATTAAATATTTTTTTGTGCTTTATTTTATAACAGACTATTCAAAACTTTTTTACACTTGGCAGATTTTATTGAAGTTGTATACTTGTGTCAGTCTCTTCCACAGACAGACATAGAAGAGACAGTGTCTTATTTAAATTTGATCCCTTCCAATGCTACATGCTGTCAGTGTAGAAGACTTAATTTATTACACTGAACATCGATATATGTAGGAATTTCTTTTAAATCTGAAGTCAGGAATAACAGTAATTTTTTCATGAGTTTAAATTATTTTCTAAATTTGGTACTCTGTAGGGAGATGTTTCAAAATAGTTGTATTTCCAAAATAAGCTGTGATACGTCAAAATAGTGTGCCATGTAATTGCAATCCGGTTTAGGAGGCCCGTGTTTCCAGGCTCTTTCTGTATTGAATCTCCTATACAAAATGCAATTTTCACTTCATGCTGTCAGGTATCAGGACAATAAACCTCACTCTGTGTTTACAGAGGATGACAGCTTTATTAAACAGGTCACTTAGTTAACTAATTTCTTGCATGACACTCCAGTAAATAGAAGCTGATAAACTGTCCGGTTGAAACACACTAACACTTTTATTACATCACCTTTGAGTCTCAAATCAAAAGAAAGCACTTTCCTGCATATGTATCTATGTATCCTTCACATACAGCGAGTCTGCATAGACATTTTAACATCAAAACTGGATTATCTCTCACTTTTGCATTAGTAGATGATCAACTTCATGACTAAAATGAAAGCCAGTCAACAATCTGTCTTGTACCGGATATTTGGATATGTTAAAGGGCCTTTATTAAAGTATTTGCTGAAGTAGTAAAGGTAGATTCAGTCAATCTGTGTTCTTTATGTCAAATTCAACTGTTTATTGATGGCAGTCCACTATAGATCATAGTGTCTTTTTTAATGTCTGTGCCAAAAGTGGCTAAAGACATTTCATTTTAACAGTTGTTTGTTTTGGTTTTTTTTCCGGAACCGGGGAATGAACTCAGGCCCTTGTGTTTGCCAGGCAAGCACTTATTCCACTGAGCCATCTCCCAGCCCTGAGTTTTCTAAATGTATTTTAATTTGACTTTTTAATAGTCCATCAGGTACTTAAGTATTATTTTTTAAGAACCCACATTTTAATGAGTTCTAAATAATAACTGTCCTTGCTCTCGGCTGGATTAGTCAAACATTATAGTATAAAAGTGCTGAATAAGCCATGGTGTATTCTGTGCATGTCTTTTTTTTTTTTTTTTTTTTTTTTGTAAGTTTATGTATTACTGTTACCCTTTCTTATGCCTAGTAAGTATACAATTCCTGAATGAAGAATGCTGAGAATACTTATGAGCATGAATGTTTTCGCTTTTTAAAATATTAAAAATTCTACACATTTTCAATACCATTTGGAGTAATATACCTAAGAAGTTCGCATTAAACTTCATCTAGATACAACTATATAAAACCATATTGGTTAAGTAGCCAGTTGTGATGAGTTTTATCTGCTTATTTTAATATTTTAGTTAATTTTAATGCAGGAATACAAATTTCAAGTTTTATTTTCTAACCAAGACATCTATAGAGAAAATTAAGAACAGTGTATTACAAGTTAATAACCCATATTAAGTTTGCATAGATACCTGCATTGTTTTTAGATTTTAAAGAACAAACTTTATTTTATTGCCATTGCTCTTAAATCTAATTGTTATTTTGTAATGTAGGAACTAAGGCTCTTTCTTTCTTCATTTTGTTTCATTTCAAAAATAATTTAGTTCCTAGACTTAGACCTAAGCAGCTTAGGTTTTCTGTATTAAGTACTCTAGTCAATATTACTTTGTCATTACCCTCAAGACGCACATCACTGTCCCCCCACTTTTGTTTTGTTTTGTTTTGTTTTGTTTTTTTTGTTTTGTTTTTTTTTTTTTTTTTTTGCTTTGCCAAATAGCTCCTTAATCTTCAAATTCCTCTTCCTGTTTTTCTAAAGGTCGATTGAGCTACCCACATCCAGGAACTGACAATCTGTTGATGTTAAATGGTAAGTGTTTAAAAACTTTTTATTTATTATTGGTTTATGTAAAGGCAACTAAACGCGTATTTTTTAAAACCTTCTGCATTACACACAATTTAATCACTTTATAAGGATAAAAACAAAGCCATGGCCAGGCATGGTGGTAAATTCCTGTAGCCCTAGCTACTTAGAGGTTGAGAGGGGAGGGTCTCTTGAAGTCTGTCAGTAAGACCTTATCTCAGAAAACAGATGAAGCAAAGTCATAGCTCTTCCTTTGCAGAAAGCAGCATTAGGAATCTGAGAAGGTTTTGGCTGGCAAGGTACTCATGAAGTGTGTCTGGGACAGTATGAGTTAGTTCAGTGGTCACGGATTTGGGGTGTGGTCCTTGTTTGCATATAAGCTTTCCAAAGTAGGATACAACTTTAGTCCACTAAACATGACCTTAATTTTCCCACTTGTAAGATGGCATTATACAATCTCAAGGTTTATTGTGAGAAAAATGAGATAAAGTTTTCAAAGTACCTAGAGCCTGTGATTTAGTTTAAGCACTTGTATTTATATTTAACTGAAGATATACTTGTAATCCTGTGAATACAATAATCACATTAACTTAACTAAGTAACTAAAAAGTTTGCATGGTTACATTCACCAGTTAGAAGAGTAAACTTTCATTGAAGTTTGTTTTCTGTTGGTCCAATATTGTTGTGTGTATCGTCACAGTACTAAGCAGCCTATTCATTGAACAGAGATGGAAATTTAAAATTTTTTTAGGTAACTGTTAGTAAACTATATGTTACTTGGGAAAGGAAAATAAGAAATAGAAATCATACTTATTTTTAAAAATATTTAGTATTAGAATGGCATAGCTATTCCCATTGAAACTTTATTGAAATATGACAGTGAAGTTTAGGTTGAAAAATAACTCAGCTGTGTGACCTAATGCCATGTGAATATGACAGTAGTGACATCAAAGTCAAAATAAGACCCATGCTGTCTCCGAGACGGACAGGGTGGATAGAGTTTTGGAATGAGAGAAAAAAACTAAAGCAGCAGGGTGGTAGGGGAGCTGATTGATGGTGTTTCGGCACTTCCCTCTTCATATACTGAGGTGTCTGTCACAGGACATTGCATGGTAGCCTAGATTAAGGTCAGCCTAGACCAACTAGAAATTTCACTGAGGGACTTCTTTATTCAACTTTTTTACTGTGTAGCCAGGCTCACTAAAAATGGTACTGTAGAAATTATAATTGTAAAAGTAAACATAGCTTATTCCCTTGACTTAGTTTATAAAATAATGATACATTTAGGTAATAATAAATCATTTACATATTGATTCATCTTCATAAACCATTCTATATGGTAAGTGAAGATTTATGTATCGCTTTTTTAAGTTTTGAAAAAGCAAGGGCCTGCCAGTTAGCTCAGTGGACTAAAGCGCCTGCTTAGGCAAGCACTAGGGGACTGGAGCGAGATCGCTGGTGTGCTGTGCCAGGCCTGCCCCCTGGGGTGCACTGAGGCTGTGAATGAGACTAGGCATGTTGGCACGTGCCTGTAATCCCAGCATTTGGGAGGCTGAAAACAGGAGCATCACTACAAGTCTGATCTGTGTAGTGACAACCTGTAGACCCTGTACTACATACAAAAAGAAAAAGAAAGAGCAATTCTGTTGAAAATATCAATTTTCACCTACTCTGCTAAAGTCCATTGGAAGAAAAGTACTTTATGAGATAATTTTTTAGATTATTGACAGATGCTCGTAGAGTGCTGAGCGGATGGAGACTAGGATGATCACAATGTAAGGGCAGTTGCCAGCAGAAGCCTCGTGGGCACACTGACTTTCCGACTAAGATTTGCAGTTACACTAATTATTAAACTGACGATCTAGTCAGTTGCCAAAGCCCTTATTACAATCTAGATGTTAAGTTGAAAAATGTTTCCTACAAGAGTATTTTATTTTAGGTAAGAGTCGCATCTTGCAGCCAAAACTTCTTTTCTCAAATGATGTCCGCTCTCAGTAGTCTGCCACTTGGGGCTGCCATGCACACCTAGTGCGGGAAGCCAGCCTCTGTGTGAACTCCTTCTGGCAAGGGCTAGAGGAGGAGAGAGAGCGAGATCGTGAAATTAGGACATCACAATGTATTCAGGTCAGGAAGAGAAACATTGTGACTCAAAGAGGAAGAAGTCTTTCCTTACTTGAGATTGGCTGAGCCATGAAGCAGGAGGCTCATAGCTGGGTGTGTTTGTGGAATAAGGAAGTGGTCAGTAGTGAGAATTTAGCTCTTTGTGGTAGGTATCCATCATTTAGGAGAGAATTTGGCAAAGAGAGGGGAAATATTTTGGGTTGTTTTTCAAATACATGTAAGTCAGCTATATTCAGAGTGAATCATCTCCCTGGAAAATAGGGGAATTCAATGCTGGTGGTACAGGCTGCGCCTTGTGAAGGAGGTGTGGGGACCTCTTAGTACCTAGGATTACCTTTTAAATTATTAAAGTCTTTTTAAAGCATATCCAGGGGCAGTTGCATAAGTTAGTTGCATTATTTACCCCATGAACATAGCTGATATTGTTGACTTCAAAATCAATACCAAGAAATCAATTTGCGTCAGCACTTTTCGCAGCGTGTTAGCAGTAGCCAGTTCTGATGGGTACCAGACACTGAGGCCAGTTTGGGTTTTCTGTGGGACCTTGATTAGCTTTCCTCACTTCACTTTGGCTTAGTTTCTTCTGTTTATAACAGCATCCTGCCTGCCTGCATGGGGTGGGTAGACCGTTGTTGGGAGTGAATTCATTCATGTAAAATATTTAGAGCAGTTGCTGAAGGTAAATAATAGCTGGGCATGGTGGGCAGCAGGACCGGAATAACTTCACAAGAGCAAATTCATGACCCGTTAATAGATGATGGAGCTAGGTATATTTATGTTGGGGAATGTAAAATTGAGGAATAATTGATGGCCCTTCTAATCTTGAGAAGGGTGGTTTAGAGCAGTGGGTATAATTTTCTTCTTAGTTTTGTTTTGTTTTGTTTTGTTTTGTTCAACTTGGAGAGATTTCTCTTCAGTTTCTTACCAAGAGCAGTTTGACCTCCATTTCCAGCTGAGTTGGGGTGTTTGCCTGGCCCTGCCTCCAGCTGCGGTAATTGGGCTCCCGCAGCTGTAGGTGAGAGCAGTGATTATGGGCACAGAGTCCCTAGACAAAACGTTACAATTACTCTGTATTTTTGTAGCAGTGAGTTAGAAGCTAAACAAGATGAGTGGGATCCCAGGACCAATTATGAAGTCATTTGGACTCCCTTGTATAGGAGAGGTCTTTAGGTTTTTCTCAGAGCTTTTTCAGTATATAAAGAAATGCAAATGCATTCGTCAGTGATGTATTTTAGTGTGTGTATATATATATATATATATATATATATATCCAGATCTATGTTCTTACCTAAATGAGGTTACTTTTTGGTAAATGCTTTTATAAGATACATATACATGAAATTTGATGAATGTAATTTTTATATAAGATGTTCCCCCATTTTTTCCTAAATATTCCAAGTTAAAGGAGCAGGTTAAATAAATCTTAAAACTATGATAGTCATTTTTATGAGTTTCTTTGTTTACTGGAAGTTTGATATTGTGATTCACTGTTATAGTGGAACATAACCTAGAAATTCATATAGAAACCCTAGGAGAAAATTGAATTCAAGCACCATCATTTGGTGAGACTGTAGAAGATTGCTTATTCCATAACAGGGAATAGGAAATGTCTTGTGTGGTTTCACTTCATCCAGAGTCACTTTTATTTAGGGTGCTGTAAGGACTTACCTCCTGAGAGTTGTCCAGAAATAAATGCGATGCCCATCCTAGGTATGAGATAATGGAAGAAATTTTCTGTTTAAATTGTATGTTCCTGCCTTTGTAGAAGATGAAATTTTCACTCTTGTAACACCAAGGAACTGTAGTGAAGAGTGGGAGTTGAGAACATAAACTGGTTATGATGTCATTAATTTTCTCAATAGGTTAAGAATTGTATGCTATCTTATGACTTAATAATAATTCATCACTTGGCCTTAAACTTGACAAAAGTAGTTTCATCACTTTATAAATCTTAATCCCTCTCATCTAGGACAGCCATGAATAAATTTCTAAGCAAACTTATACTGCAGTGGTACCCTAGGCCATACTTAGGGACAAGCAGGAAGCCTAACTCCCGCTTGTGAAGGAGGCGTGAAAAACGTCAGTCATGCTGCCTAATTCCGGGCTCCGGAAGTTTACTCTTCTGTGGCCTATTCTTAGTGGCTCTTTAAAGTTACTTTTTTGGCTATGGAGATAGCTCGGTGGTCTAAGTGCCTGCCTGGTAAGCACAAGGGCCCAGGTTTGAATCCTGGTGTGTTTTATGCCACGCTGCTGTGCCAGCCACCCAAAACAGACTTGGTTGCACCTGCCTGTAATCCCAGCACTGGGGAAGCTGAGACAGGAGGATCACTATGAGTCTGAGTTGCTCAGCGAGACCCTGTACCAAATAAATAAATAAATAAATAGTAACTTTTTAAAAACCTGATTTTCCGTGGTCAATCTCCCAGCACTATGAAACATTTTCTTAAGGCCTTTATAACTCTTAGAATACTTAAACAATAAAATTCTAAATTCTACTTCATTACCCTCATCCTAAATTAAGAATTGGTCTGATAAATTACAAAATCAGTCCACCAGCGCTGAGATCAGGAGAGCTCGGGCTGGCCAGGTGTGATGAGAAGCCCATGAGGTCGTTCATTCAGAGACTGATGCTAACCAGATGTTTATCGACTCATTTCTTAGAAGTGTAAGGCTTGATGTGTGGTTTTCCTACCTTTTAGCATTTAGTTTTTCCTACTTTTTTCCTCACTGTATAGCCATTTTATCTTAAAGCTTTAGTATAAAATTAAAAATATACTTTGTAAAACTAAAACATAGCATATTTAATAACGTGGAATGATTCTGTTTGATCTTGAACCTTTATACTTTTGGATTGGCTACATTTCTAACAACTTTCAATGCAAGTATTTCATTTGAGATTTATTTAACATTGAATTATTTGCAGGCCCAAACAAAATCTATTAATATGAATTAAGATCTAATTGTTTTAATAGTCATTATTTGGTTATTGCCTTAGTAGTATGTCTTCTAATATAAAAATGTTGTGTGCTCAGATTTGGGGGGATTATATAAAGTCAAGTTGTAATATTGTCAAACTAATTTCTTATGAAGAAATACTACCAGTTTTTTTCTCAATAATTATCTCAACTGTTAAAAACATAAATCGAAATGCCTTTCTGCCTTACATTTTATAGCACTTAACATATACACTATAAATATGAGGATGTTAAGAATAATTTTCATCTGAATCCCTCCAGGTCTCAAAAGTAGACATGTCTGAAGAACAGAAAGCATTATTAGCTTTAATATGTGGCCATTTCTCTAAGCACATTTAAAGAGGCATTGGCACTTTTACACCCCACTTAAGCTGTGCTTCATAGTAGTTATTATTCATTTGAATCTTCCACTACTACTTTCATGGAGTTTGGTGTAATAGAGATTGGGTCTGTGTAGCTTTCTATTGGAAAATACATGGGTCTCTGTAATGAATTGGAAGATAAGAATTTAATTTAGATAGTTTTCACTCATTGAGAAAAATATTTGGGTTGCTGTTTAACTGAAAATTGTATATTCCTATCAGGATGAAAGCAAGCAAATAATAACTCATGAATTTTAAATATGAAGGTCAAATAACTGTACATAATCTGTTATATGGTTCACATGACAGATGTCTAATGAAAGTGCTTTGTTCATAATGAAACACCAAGCAAATGTTAGGTGATGTCGTGTTTAAAGCAGCGCTCATTCCCGAGTGCCCGCTGTCACAGGTGGTTGTTCATGTAGGCTTCCTTTTAGTTCTGACATTTTACACTTTCTCCTTTGTTTACATGCAGCAAGGAGTTATGGGCGAAGACGAGGTAATTCCTTTCTGTTTGCTATGGTGTAACTGTTTCTAATTGGGTTTTCCTGATCAGTGTTGGAATTAATTATTCCAGATAATTAATACAATGTCTGAAAACTCGTAGGAGAGTTAAGCTTTGATTTGCGTACTTACAAAAGTTCTAATTCTAACCTTTAAGATATATTTTCATACTAATTATGGTTATTTAATAAAATTGTTCTATTTAAACTACACTCAGATTTTAACTTTAAAAGAGCTATTCTGTATCTCTTAAAGCTTCTGTTTACAGTTTGTTTAACAAATTTGTCAAAAGTGACATACAATGTGATTTTTCCATTCTCTAAATTATTAAAATTAAGTTATTAAATTAAATAATTTAGAATTCTAGATTATTTTCTGTGTTTGACTCAGTTGAAAATAGCATATAGCGTAAGTAAATTTCTGCTAACACTGCATAGTGGAAATCATGCTGCTAATTTTGCCTGTCTTCTGAGACTACAGTCCTTCCTGTTTTAGCACCCACCTTCCCCTCCCTCCACAAAAGGATTCGGGGGCGTGCTGCTCTGGGAAGGGCCAAGCTAGGATTGTGTGGTGAAGCGGCATCGCTGAGCTTCCTGGAAGAGCAGCTGACATTTTCTGTGACTAAATCTTTGCCTCTCTCTTTTCTGTGCGTAGAGATGGAGAAGGAGAACAGTAGAGTGAGAGCAAGCATAAGTAACTTCACAGTGCTAGACTGTCCACTAAGCAGTGGGCACGGGCTTGGCCTACTTCCGCTTTGTGCCACAAACCGTGTTCGCCCTGCAGACCTCGAGAGTCTTCGTGGAGTCATGGAGGGTGGGCGGCACTCACAGTGCCCTGAGACAGGTTCTGCGTGTGTGCGCAGTACTTCATTTTCTCCTCACCTAGGCGTGTGTGGACTTTGGAAATAGACAGGCGAGAGTGCGGCCACTGACGAGCCAAATTCAATTTTATGTTCTTAAGTGGTAGTTCCGGTTTCATACTTCAGACCATCTGAATTCAGCCTCATAATTGCTTCTTCAAATGCTGGTCTGAAACTTTGGCTTCTCATGTTTTTTTAACAAAAAGGAAGAGACTGAAAGTTGAGGCTTAGAAAGCTGAGGCTGGGTAGCTTGAAGGGTGCTCTCAGCAAGCTGGGAGGAGGGTGGGAGGGAGGACTGGAGGGCCTGATTTAGGGCTGCGGCCGGCCTACTTCCCTGCGCGGTGTGGAGCTCTAGTTCCCTTGAAACAACCCAGGCTCCCCAATCTGAAGTTTAGGTAATTTTGCAAGTGTGGAGGAATTTAGGATTCTGTTCTTAGTAAATGCTTATCATCTTTTAGTATTAGTGACTTAGGTTTACTTTGACATCCTCTAGTAAATATGACCAAGTAAATTCCTAGGAAAAAGATACCAGAACGTGATGCAGTAACTTGTCTTAATTCTCAGCTCAGTAGTCGTAGACTGTGGTTGTGATAATAAGAAAAAAGTTTCTTTCCCCAATTTTAGATAACATGCTTGCTACCATTCTTGTCTGTCTCTGTCCCCTGGGGCCAAGAAGGTGGTCCCCTTCAGGACTGGCTCCCAGCAAGACACTCTTACTTGGTTTAAGGCTTCAAAATAAAAGCTTCCTTTGAGGACAGATCTGACAGTTTTTGCACATAGTTGGCTTCGTCCAAGCGGGGACTGATGCCTGCACATTCCTCTTGGATTGTGTGGCATTACTGTAGTAACTTTCAGTTGGGTCTCTGTGTATTTTGGATTCTCAAGCATCAGACTTCTCCTTTTCTGAGCTTCAGTGTTGTAGATTTGATCATCAAGAAATTGCATTTATTCATTTTTCTTTTTAGAAGAAAATGAATCTTCTATCTTCCATTCATGTGAGATGAGTCGCCATGAGCTAGTGTAATTTTGCTAGAAATAAAGCAGGGCCCTTCCAGCAGCGCAGTGCTGAGTACGCAGCGTTCGCTTCCAGCCCTGTTCAAGGAGGACTCGCTTGTTTCTCTTACTCGCACCTCTGACTCACCTTTCAGTCCAGTGACGATGCTGTTTTCATTTAGAAGACTTCCCGCGTCACTGCAAACAAAATCATACCAGAAGACTTTATTTAGTTTTAAAATTTCCTTGAGGTGATAAATATGAGCTGTAAATCCAACTGATTTTAGGTACTGCCTTATGAACTAACTTTGAAATAATTATATTAGAGATAGTTTTAAAAAACAAAGCTTGTTTCCCTGCATTTCATATGTATGTAACCAACTACTTACCACTCCTGGGTATCTCCCAAGAGTTCTGCTGCTGCAGGGCCGCCTTGGAGAGAGCACTGGGAGTGAGGAAGACCTACGTAGGTAGCTCACTATAACTTCTGTAGGGCTGGGGATTATGATAGAGCTCTTGCCTTGCATGCAGAAGGCCCTGGGCTCAATCCCTACCACACGCACCCCACACGCAGTAAAAGAAACTACCTCTCTTTTGTTGCTACCCTTTGCCCTTTGTTCTTTTTTTTTTTTTTTTTTTTTTTTTTTTTTTTTTCATTCCATTCTGAGAGTGCAGAGACTGGGCTGACTTGGAGTAGGGTAGGAGATTATGCAGAGAAATGTGAAATATAATCTCCTTCACTCAACTTAAAATATTACAGCATGACAATCTGCCCCTTTAATCCTCTATTAATCCTCTTCCTGCTGTGCTCCAAAAAAGAATAAAAATGTAGAGAGTATTCTGAGTCACTGAAATCATATATTTTAGTAGTAATAAGCCCTGAACTTATAAGCAGACTGAACTCAAAGCTTGAGTCAGCAGATTGCATATAGAAGGGGGTAAGAGAAATAATTTGAAGGGGAGGCAAATTATGGAAGTTTACCTGAATTTGATTTATTCAGTTACAAGCTATCATTAATAGGGAGTTATTAATACATACTGTGTATTTGACACCTAGTTTTTGGTATGTAATTTCAGTAATTATCAGAGAATGGGCAGGATTTTTAAAACTTGAAAAACTGGCAAGATAATATTTTATCCTAGGGATTGGCAAACAGCGTCCCACAGGTCCAGCTTCCTGTCCTTTTAAATAACATTTATAAGACACAGCTCTATTCACCCATTTGCTTCCTTTGTGCTGGGCGGCTGTGGGGCTGCTGTGGTGGCGCAGTTGAGTCACTCCCCTCAGCAGAGCGCGTGCAGCCTGCCACGTTGGACATCAACGCCGACCTCACTGTCCATACCCTCAAAAGACCATGCTATGCCAGATTTTACACTCAGCCACACCAAATTTTAAAGGAAACAAAAATTTAATGAACTTAGTATTAAGGTTAACATATATGTAGAAATTAAATTTACAAAGACATATAGATCTAAAAATAATAGATTAAAGTTAAGTATCTTAGTTATCTACTATGAGAAAGCAACAGACCTATTATTGGAGTAAGATATTTTAAGCAATAGGTAGGTGCATGACATCCACAGTTTTTGGAACAGCATACGGGTCAGGGGGTCTGTTTAATTAAAGAGATGGTGCTCAAGGGAAATCCATCCTGAAGTTACCTCTGTTTCCTTGATAAATGTTGTCCTTGCATATTAAATAAAAATCATGTCATCCTATATTGGATTATTTTGCTGAATTCACGTACTTACGATATTTAAATGGCAAGTGAATACCCATCTCTAACAAAACTAAACAAAAAAAGGGAATCAAAGGGAGGACCATTTTGTATTTATATATACAAAATAGTTAGGATAGATATACAGCTACATTCTCTTAATTCAATGAGAAGAAAGGTTTGTACTAATAGTGTTTGGACAGGACATCATGTCTGCATCTTATACTATGAATAACCACTCCAAAGACAATATGCAATTTATTAATTATTGAAACTGTCCTACTAACCTGTTTTAAAACTATGTCATTGCTATTTGTTTCTCAATAAAATTAATGAAAAAAAATCATGTCATCACACTGGTAGATTATCTGCCCTTGATGCTAGAATCCTAAAAGACAGAAAAATGTTCATATTAGTCTTTAGTTTCTATACTTTATGCATTTTTTATTTTATAACAGCATTCAATAAATAATAGTATGAAGTAGTCCGTAGGGCTCAAAGAACCATGCTTAGTTTCAAGCTAGACATCGACTGCATTTGCACAAGCATGTTTCCATCTCCAGCTTCTCGCGTCAATGTGTTGACAATGTATTCACTCTGAGACTCGAGGATGAGGCTCGTGTCTAAAGTGTCAAGTCTGATTGTTAATGTTTGGGAGCAGGAGTGTGGCCTCCGGTGTGAGCAGCCAGCGCGTCTCCAGGCGCACACGCCTGCTGTGCCCCGTGGGGAAGGCCACCGGGCTGCCACTCAGCCATGAGCACAGGCTGTGTCTGTTTAGGAAACGTGATAAAGTTTTGATTGTACACAGCAACAATTTTTATGGAAAGTCACAACTCCTAAACTTTTTCTTTTTTTTTTTTTTTTTTTTCTGAAGAATTTCATGTAATGCTGTCTCTGAGTTTTCCCTATCAGAGGCCATTCAAGTTGCCCCTTGCAGCTTGATAGAGCTTCGAAACAACCAGTTCATAGAATAATTGTATGTTTTACTTTATTAGAAACTGCCAAATTTATGCTCCAAAGAGTATGAAACTGACTTTAGGTTATTATACTTTTTTTTTTTTTTTTTGGCAGGACCGGGGATTGAACTCAGACCCTTACACTTGCCAGGGAAGCGCTTATTCCACTGAGCCATCTCCCCGGCCCAACACTGAATAATGTTGAAGCATTTTTATATGCTTACAGCCCATTCCACTTACTCATGATGTATTTTCTAGTGTGCTATTTAACATTTTTGTACCTTTGTTTATGAGGAATATTGGGATATTATTTTTCTTTTAATATTATTGTCGAGTGTTACTATCACAGTTATGAGCTACAAAGTTTTTCCTCTTTCATTCTTTCAAATAAGCTATCTGAAATCACTGTTACTTCTTTTTCACAAGTCTGCTTCATTCATCAGTAAGGGGCCTGGAAATTTCTTTATTAGAAGAATTTTTGCTTTTTAGTTGTTTTTAGTCATGATCGGATGCACTGTGCCGAAAGGTATCAATTTTATAAGGCTTTGAGGAATCAACTTTTACTTTGTTAATTTTAGTTAATTCTAGTCTATCTTCTATGTCATTAATTTTAGTTTTTAACTTGTTTTTTCTATTTAATTTTCTATTTTTTCATCTTCTTATGGTAAAAATTTAGAGAATTTAAGTGATTCTAGTTTCCAAAACAGCATTTAAAACTGTACCTTTTCCTTTAAATTTGCAAGAAAAAAATTTACAGCTGGTTTTTGTGACATCCCACCCATAGCATTTATTTCCCTTATAACATTTTCATTCCTCAGAAGCCATGAACCTAAAAATCCTTTGCACCACTCTTGGTGTGCTGGAAATGCACTATGCACGGTAAGCATAGCTCATAGCGTGGTTCTTTTATCATCATTAATTTGGGTTACGGGGAAAAATAAGATACAAAGTAGTCTTTTATTGATGATTGATATTGTTAATTTTCCTCTGAGTGTACAATCCTGATTTCAACAGCTTCCCAGGAGAGAGCAGGCAGGAGGAAAGGCTTGGGCTGTGACCCTGCGTGGGATGTTCTCTGCCTTTCATCAACTGAACTTTGACTGCCAGATTAGATTCACTTCGTTGTACTAACTCAACTATATTGTTAATAATACAGCATGATTATTGCAGCATGACTAGTATAAGTATGTTCACAATGTTATAGTTACTAAAAAGCTTTCGTTAGTTTTGGGGTCCTCCCTGGCATTGCTTATAGTGATTTCTGCAGTCACTGAATTCAGTATTTCTGTTTAGATCCCTAATATTTATGATGTGTCGGGTTTTTCCCCTCAAGACAGTATCTTTTAGACTTGGTGAATTGTGCTCATGGACCACCAAGTTTATGTAGTAGGACACTTTAAAGGACATGATTTCCCCGGTATTGGCATGGCTGAAGTAAATGCAGCTTTTAGATTGATCATTTTTCCCTAAGAGCTACTTAGTGTACATATTATTTCTCTACTCTGTCCTTTTAAAATGCACATTTATACAGAGAAAGTCTCATCTTAAGAAGTTGAACTGAGTAGTAGACAATATCATTTTAATGGACCTTGATGAGGTTTATTTCATTCAGTAAAAATACAGGTTGAACATCCCTAATTCAAAAATCCAAAATCTGAACAGCTCAAAACCACAATATGCAAAACACTCTGGACCTAAGCACTTCAGATAAGGGGTATTGTATGAGTTCTGTGTTGAAGAGTTTATCTGTCACAAAAATGTTGACCTTTGTTTCCACTGGCCCCTGTTTCTGATAACAAAAATATTTGGTTTTTTAAAAATAATTGTATTGAGAAGCAAATAGCAATGAGACAGTTCCAAAACATATTAGTAGGACAGTTTCAACAAAAATATTTGGAAAGCTAAATTGATTCTAACAGAGTTACTCAGAGAACATGGATCTCTTTCAAAAAATCTACAGAATAATTCCTATTTTATACACCAAATATGGTCTTCCTCCCTGTTGTTCTGAGAAGTTTTCCATTCCTAGATCCCGCATCTGCCTGGGTAGCCAGCTCACTCAGTTTGCCCCCTTCCTTTTGCTCCCAATTCCTTAAAAGCAAGATAGCATATTTCAATAGTCATTGTTTATAGCACATCTTTATGTATCATATTTTTAAAGATAGTAGCATATTAATGACACTTTTGATTGAACATTACTTTATAGATTAAGACACATTCTAGGGGCTAGCCAGATAGCTCAAATGATTTTTTTTTTTTTTTTTTTTTTTGTACTGGGGATTGAACTCAGGACCCTGTGCTTGCCAGGCAAGCACTTATTCTACTGAGCTATCTCCTGGGCCCCAGCTCAGATGATTAAAGAGCCTGACACAGAGGCCGGGCTCTCATCCCTGGCTTGCGGTGCTGGCCCCGCCCCTGGGGTGTGCTGAGACGCAATTGAGACTGAAAACAGAAAGATCACTGCGAGTCCGATCTGTATAGTGAAGCCCTGTAGGCCCCGTACTAAATTCAAAAAGAATGAGCGAGCGAGCAAGAGACAGAGACAGACTGTAGATTGTGTGCTTAATCTGTGTATCCCCTCCAAATCTTTCACTTAATCCTGAAGGGAAAACCCTATCTACATTCTTGCTTTTCTTTCTCTAATATGTTACTAAGGATTCATCTTCATTTGATATCCGTACTTAACAAAATTCTAATTACATGTGACTCCCATCCAACTTTGCTGAAACGACTCCCTTCAAAGATTCTGTCTTTAAACATAAAATATAGTATTGGAGATTTAACACATTATTGGACAGACTACCTTATCCTTGTGGTCACCTCCTCTGAAGCACTTTGATACTGTCTTGTGTATAGGTGCTATAATTATAATCAGTCTTACCTTTCTAAATGTGCATTTTCCGGGGGCAGCAGACTGTCTTTTATTAGATCATTTTTCTGTGGTCCCACAGCCACAGGTTTGCGTCAGGCTTACAGGGTGGTCCCGTACAGAGGTGCACCTCTGCAGGGCAGGCCCGCATGAGGACTAGAGTCCGCGAAGGGAGGCCTCTGTGTTCTACACACGTGCAGAGCCCGCCTCCGGTGTTTCTGAGGACCAATAGGATTAGCACACATGTAGTGGGTTTCTTCCAGATCTTATATGCAAGTGTGATTCACTGCCTTTATCTTTAATTTTTGTAGTCTGCAGGTGGTTTTTAGTTACATCTTCTCATTTAGTTAATCTGTGCCATTTCCTTTCTGCTTCCAGTTTCTAAAGAATTCCCCAAGTACCTATCAAGTCTGTTCTCCATACCTCAGATTTTTCTGCTGTCTGTAAAAAGCTGAAGGGAACTAGCATTTCTTTTACAGTATCATTGTCACGTGACTGTGTTTACTCATAGTCATTCTTCAGATTGTTTCTCTCTTGATTCCAGTAATTGAAATCACATGCTATCTGAATTTCTATTAATTTTTACACCTATGCTATCTTTATTAAGCTTCTGAGTTTGTCTTTGAAATGTTTATACTCGAGTGTATTATCTTTTAAATCAGATACTCAAGTCATATCTGTACCTTTATTTCAGGTCGTTCGTCCCTATTTCCAATAGATGATGGCTTGCTGGATGACGGCCACAGTGACCAAGTTGGTGTTCTGAATTCTCCCACCTGTTATTCGGCTCATCAGAATGGAGAACGAATAGAACGCTTCTCTCGAAAAGTTTTTGTTGGTGGGCTTCCTCCAGACATTGATGAAGGTAAGGTGATTTGGCCTTCAAAATAAAGCAAAAGAAAAACAACTTTAAATGAAACAAAATACTAGAATATAATGTAAATAGGGCATGCAATTTTTTTTTTACCACGTGAATAGGTTTTCATAATTAAGAAGATCTGTCTCTGTTAATAGTTTGTCACCAGTTGAAACATGACGATAGTTGAACCAATATATCTCATGCCTGTTGCTACTGGAAACATCATTTGTATGATTTCCATTTCTGTGTCATATCTTAATTCATTCTAAAACACTGAATATATTCATACAGTACTCACGCGCTCCATACATGTGTACACACAAATAATGGGATCAGCCATGAAATGAGGTCCATAATACATGAGTATCCAAAGTTAAATTCCTTTAAGGATGAATACACTCTTAGAGATGGATAAGATGAGGCTGTAAAATCTAAAAGGAAAATGGAAAACAGAACAGAAAGCAGGAAATTCAGATTGTATAAAGGCTAATAACATGTGAAATGTGAGACAGGAGGCTAATAAAAATGTGAAAATGATCATGTGTGGAAACAGAAGGTGGAAAGTTAAAAGTACGGAACTCAGTTTAGGATGTTTTGGAAACTCAGCACTCATTTATAACTGATAGAGAAGATACTGATGTATGTTGGGGAACTTTTGCTTCTGATTCAAATATCCATGGAATTACTCTATTAATCAGGATGGTAAGATTGCCGTACCTTAGACTGTCTGATTGTGTGTCCCCACGCGTGAGCTGTAAGGCAGCACCCAGGCAGACGTGAGGCTGCGTCACACTCGGCCAGCAGTGTCGCTGCTGTGGCGCTTTAGGGGCCATCTTTCCCTGCAAGAATGTGACGTCCTTGTGGAGCAGCAGCATCTCTTTATTTAACTTCATGTGGTGTTGGCTTTTTCCTGCCAGTTCTGCTCGTAGTGTGAAATGGTTAGCCTTCATGTAAGGTTACATAAAATGTTTAAATTTAGAGCACTGTAATTATTTTTTCCAATGTGCTGCTTAAAAGTAAACTTACTTTGACTAAGCTCGTTGCAGGTTTTACAATTATCTTAATAAGGATATTGTCCACATTCTCTTCATTTAGACTGAGATTTACCTTAGCATATTTGGCAATTTGAAATACTAAATCTTTGAATCAATTAAAAATATGAAATTTCTTAAAATAAAGCATTGAAGCTAATTCCTAATGGATATTATTGTACTTTTTAAAGATGAAATAACTGCTAGCTTCAGAAGATTTGGGCCTTTGGTAGTAGACTGGCCTCATAAAGCGGAAAGCAAGTCCTATTTTCCACCAAAAGGTAAGAAGTTTTGCTGTTAATGTCTGTTAGATGAGAGCAAAAGAAGTGATATCAGTTCCTTAGTGTGTGTTTTCTTTTTAAAGAATAGAATATAAGAGATTTCACATGAAAATTAGTAATTTGTAGAGGCTGGTAACCTGGGTTGAGATAGGCAGTATGATCCTGAGAACTCTTCCACTGTGACTCAGAGCCAAGCAAGAAGAGCGAGAGACCGAGGGCTAGACGCCACTATGACTGGTACAGCTTCCTAAGTTCCAGCCATTGTTGACTATTTTGTCTCTGTATAGAGTATCATTCTAAAGAATGTAGGTATAAACACAGGCAAAGGCATCCTTGCGCTCACTGAAATGAAAATCTGTGCGAAAATTTTATTTAGATTATAACTGCCATTTTATACAGAGGTAAAATGCTAGGAGGTTGCGCGCAGTTAGCCCCTGACTGGGATTGTTCTGCGGCTGTTCACCAGAGCATGAAATCACAGGCATGCCTACGTCACTGAGTAAGTCACATAGTCAAGACATTCATGGGAGAAAGGAGGTGCAGCGCCCCAAGTGACTCGAGAACAAGGGGAAGGTTGTTATGCATTTATTTATTGCACTGTTACATTTTCACACTTGACAAACATGCAAGTGTTTTGCTAATGTTATCTGCAGAACTATGTCCTTCCCTGAGCTTTAGAAACAGTATTTGTGTTTTTGTATTCTTTCCAATTCACAGATGGGTAATTTCCCAGTAAATGATGTGAACACCAATAAATACTACAGGATAGAGAAACTACTTTGACCTCAAGTAGGCCAAAAAATGTCACTGGGAATCCTGAATTAAATTGAAAACTTACTGTGCAATTCGGATAGATAAAAGAAGTTGAATAGTTTCAGACCAGAATTAAAACATTTGATTGACTCCTCTGTATGTTTAGATTTCCATATGGAAAGATGCAGACAACCACAGAAGATTTGTTCAGTAAAAGAGCAGCTACATTTGCAGGGAACATATATGGATATTTTTCTTGTCCTATTTCCCTAGACAGTATAGTGTAACAACTGCCTAGGTAACATTTATATAACCTTATATAATGGTAGATGATTTAAGGTAGAGTTTGCTTATGCTACTGTATACAGGAACTTGAGTATCCTTAGATTTTGGGTTTGGCCAAGGTTGTATACCTGCTCCCCCATGGACATCAAGGGGTGACTGTAATTTTAGAAAGAATTGAGAGTTGGTTTAGGAGAAAACAGACATAAATTTTTGCATGTATATACTTGGTCACTTGATGTGCTTTTTAATCCAAGAAACATGAGCTTAAAAATCTGCTGAAAGACAGTAATTGTTTTCATTGCTGTTGTTGCCATAGTTGTTGTACTTTTTTTTCAATGTTTATTTTCTCAAAAAGAAAATGATTAGCGCTGGCAAATCAGAACCTTTACTTTTTTTTAAGTATGGTTATATAGTTTGCTGTAGCTGTTGTCAGAAGCCAGCATTTTCAAATCTTATTCTCAGATATTTATCATTTCTGTAATTGAACATTTCCCACTGTGGAAAAACACCGATATGGGAGTGTCTGGTCATCCCAGCCACCTGGTAGCTTAACTGGGGCTCGAGCCTGTGGGGGCGCTCACTGCAGCAAGCGAGCCGGCTGTGTGAGCTGTTTGTCCTGAACTAGAGCTGTCAGTATTCAGGTTACATCACGGTCCTGGCACTTGGTACTGCATTAGTGGGCTTAGGACGGCAATCTGGACTCTCAGTGCTAGAAGGCTTGCTGCCTTTGTTCGGGTGTAGACACACGGGCACCTGCTTCCTTTGCAGTAAACAGCCTTCACCTTACGTGGTCATCATTAGCTTGCTGGAATAAATTCCATAGATTACCATGTGGTTTCTTTTGTATAATCATTTTATTATCTAATGGCTTGCATTACTTAGGTTGTAATTTACATACCACATTGCTTGATTTCTGTGATGTGTTTTTTCATAATCAGAACAATTCAAAACTTTAGTAAATGTTCTCTTAATTATTACAGAACCACCATAGTTTTCATATTCTTCGTTTTTATCAAAATTAAGCCTTAAGGAAAACCATTCTTGCCTGGTGTGGTGATACACCTATAATCCCAGCACCGGGAGATTACAGCAGAAGGATTATGATATCAAGGCCAGCCTGGTTGCATAACAAGTTCAAGCCTAACCCTGACTACAGAGTGAGACCTTGTCTCAAAAACCAAGCAACAACAAAGAAGCTAGTCTTGATTGGTTTTTTTAAGCATATTTAAATGAAGTCTAAAGTCTTAATTTTACATAAATTTGCCTTCAGAAATTTCTCATTATGTACATTGATTTGAAGGTTTCAGTTTTTTTCTCTACAGAATCAAGTATTTTTATTAAAAGGAAATACCTGTGTGCCACATCAAACCTTTCTAACATAAACGCTATTGTTGACAGCGGTGTTTCGGAGTTCTGAGCAAAACTCCCCACTGTGGCACACATCGAGCTGTGCATGACTTGCTGAGGTGCTTGGCGTGGAGACCAGAGCGCTATGCTGTATACTAATTCATGTTCGTAAAGAAATCTTGTTAAGGCAAGGCAAATTTCTAGGTCCCTTAACTTACCAGCTTCTGGGAATTCTCAGTAGTAAATTTACAACATATGTATTCTGTGCTTCCTTTTATAATCTTTAACTCTGTCTTGCTGGATGCATGATTGTTAATTAAAGATAATTAAAGATTGACAGGTGGTTTTTCACAAAGCAAGGAGGGTGGATATACTTCCTGATGGAATAGGAATCTGACTAGCTTTAGTCCAACCGAGCAGTCTCCAGTTTGATAAAAGTATTCCACTGCTTATCCAAGTTGAGATTTGAGGTAAAAGTTTTGCCCCATCAGTAAAGAACATCTTTCATTCCAACCTCTCTAGGGTAACTGTCTTAGTGTCTTTTGGACCTTTTTAAAAGACGGTGGAATTTTCCCACTCCTTGGGGTATATCCTGGGTCTTTCCAAGTGTACTGTGGTTCAAAAGGATCCCTAGAATATGCACTAGCCTGAGAGCCTTTAAAGACAAATGGGCTACTGCTGCCAGGTCGCTTAAGAGAGTGACATCACTGCTAGAGAAAGGATGGGAGAACTTCAGGCCGACCCGAGTTTGAAATTATTCAGCCGTCTACATGCTGTGAGGTAGACTTCGATCAAATAAAACAGCCCTGAGGTGGTGTTTTCTTTCTTTTGTTCTTTTTCCTGTAAGATGGAAATAGCATATATATCATAGACTCGTGAAAGTCAAGTGAAACCATTCACATAAAGCTCTTGATGTAGTACCTGAGATTAAGTGCTCCATAGAAGGCAGCTACTATATATACATTCCTGAGAGTATAGCATTCTCCTATATAGAAGGCTTAACAATTTAAGTCCTGTTTGTTTGTTTGTTTTTCTCTTTTCAGTAGCACGCATTTTCTAAACAGTGCTGAAATTGGGAGCTAAGCTCCTTAAGCTGACCTGCTGTTTTATTTTCCTGGTTCTTCCAGGCTATGCCTTCCTTCTCTTTCAAGAAGAGAGCTCGGTTCAGGCGCTCATTGACGCGTGCATCGAGGAGGACGGCAAGCTCTACTTGTGTGTCTCCAGCCCCACGATCAAGGACAAGCCGGTGAGTGAGTGCCCGGCAGCTCCTGAGGGCAAGTGCAGGGTTGCCAAAGTCTGTTCTGAAATTTTTACTTAGAAACAAACTACTATCATGTAAAAATCCAGTTAAGTATACAGGTGATTTATACTACATAGATAGAATTATCAATAATTTATATTCAAATTCAGCTGTACAAATTTTTAAAAAATAAAAGGAGTAATATCCAATGTAATTTTCTTCATAGGTCCAAATACGTCCTTGGAATTTAAGTGATAGTGATTTTGTTATGGATGGTTCTCAGCCTTTAGATCCCCGGAAAACAATTTTCGTTGGAGGTGTTCCAAGGCCATTAAGGGCTGGTAAGTAGAACACTAACAGATTTGTTTTGTTTTGTTTTTAAATAATTTAAATATAAATAAGTTAACTCAGAAAATACTTGACAGCTGTTGTATACCTGACACTATCAATGGGCAAATGCTTCATAGCATTCCTATGGTTGTAGAATTCTGAGAGCCTTTCTTGAAACCTTCAAGCTTTTATGAGTCAATATTTGTAGTGAACTCCAAGCAGACTTCATTTAGAATCTACTTGAATGCTCAGATTTCCCAAATGCAACTCTTTAAAGCAGGAGAATTTTGCATCTCTTAATTTCATGTTGGTTGATTCTGATACATGAAGAACAAATTGATATTTTTCTTTTTTATGTATCTGAACTACAGTATTAACTAAGTCAACATGTTAGATAAATGAGTGACAAACTTGATTATCAATAACTAGGAACTGGAAATCTGAGATATGTCACGTTGATGAAACTGTAGGTATAAATGTCTGTTCCACACGCAGGTTATAAGATGCCGTGGGCCACCTGTGGTGTTAAAATTTCCATCCTCCTCTTCCAGTCCGGGAGACATATGCTAAGGAACTGCTCACACTGTACATATTTTAAAAACATAATGACTGCTACAGAGGAAGACTAAGGTGCAGCGGAGCACTCATAACAAGGGAATGTGATAGGAAGACCAGACAGAAGGAGTAGGGCGGGGCAGTAAGAGGGTTTTGAGGAGTGGACTTCAGACCCAGCGAGCAGCAGAGTCAGGAATCTTGTCTGCAGGCAGCATGGTCCATTGGAAAGACTGGAAGAAACGCAGAGGAGGACTAAGGACCAAAGGAGGGAGGGGAGAGGCTCAAGGGAAGGCATTCAAAAGCAAACAGGAGTTAGATTGTACAAGTTTCGTGGGCAAATTTGATGTCCTCAGAGCAAGAGTAACAAAAGTTTTTAAAAAATAAGAAGTGACATGATCATATTTGGAATTTTGAAGGACCAGGTAAGCTAATGACTCAGAGCGGGAATGCTGGCCGTGCAGAACTCTGGAGAGCCCGGGTTGGAGAGGCCTGTTACCCGGTGTGGGAGCCAGACAACGGTGGCAGGCTGAGCAGTGCGAGTGCAGAGAGTCAAGTGAACTTACCTCACAAATATTTGAAATGCAAAGGTTGACTCTCGGCTCTCATGTGAAGTCCCTCATGCGTAGTGGGACCTCTTGCTGAGATACTAGGAACCCTGGAAGAGGAGTGGGTTAGGGGAAAAGATCATGTTTTGGTTTTAAACACAAATTCCTGGCACACTCAAGAGTTGCAAAATAAAAATTTCACTTAAACCTTGCAGTATCTGGTCTAGGTCTTAAGTGAATTACTCTTACTACTATATTGGAAATAAATGGGCAGATGGAGATCAAAAGTGAAGAGAGAAAACTATTGCTGTCACCCAGATGAGTAGCACCTTAAAGTGACGGAGGTGATTTTTAGATGTGTCTTGAAAGCCAGGATCATGGGATCTTTTGTACAGTGAGGAAGAAGACGGAAACAGAAAGATTAAGCCAAGAAGATCTTGACTTGGCAATTTTTTTTTTTAATTTCTGTTGTGTACTAACTGGACCAGGATAACCTCACTAGAAGGGGCTTAATGTGATGAAGATCAGGTTTATCTGTATTGTGTTTTAAACATACAAGTGGTCCAGAAGGCAGTCACATTTATGAGCCTTGAGCCACAAGGAGACAACCAGTCTGAAGATAGAGATTTAGGAGCATGAAAACACATAGATGACATTTAAAGTTTTGAGCCGGATGAAGTCATCACCCAGGAGCAAAGATATAAGAGTTTAAGGGCTGGAGCTTACAATTCGCTGACACAGAGAATTCAAGAACTGAAGGACTGTCAAGAAAAGTCTGCATCTTGTACTATGAATAACCACTAAGAAGACAGCAATATGCAATGTATTAATTATTGAAACCGTCCCACTAATCACTTGAATCTGTCTCATTGCTATTTGTTTCTCAGTAAAATTATTTTTATAAAAAGGAAAGATTAAGAAGAAATTGTAGTTGAATTGAGGAGACAATTATCAGGATAAGGCAATGTAGAAGGTGGGTGGAGAGGAGACGGTCGCGACTCATGTGTTTGGTGCCCCCGGGTGTGCTGGCAGGGATTCACAGTGGAGAAGAGGACCTGGATGCAAGCGATGAAAGCTCAGCCATGGGATAGCAGTCTGGGTAATAAAGGTTCAGCGGAGAATAAAATGTGACTGGATGTGTACTACTTACAAGTGAAAAGCTTAGAATTAGAAAAGAGCGTGAAACTAGACCTCTGAAAAGATATCAGAAATATACAGTCTATGTGTTTAACACTGATAAACGGGGTCCATGTGGTAAGAATCTAACTATGTTCAAAAAAAGAAAAAGGGCTCTGGGTCTCAGGCTCCCTTCCAACAACTTCTTTGGGTTAGTGGCCTGTTTACTTTTTAAGAACAGTTGTTGACGTGCCGTCTTCGCTCTGCTAACGCGCACCCTTTCGTTGTGAAGTGGAGCTCGCCATGATCATGGACCGGCTGTATGGAGGCGTTTGCTATGCAGGGATCGACACGGACCCAGAACTGAAATACCCAAAAGGTGCTGGCCGCGTTGCTTTCTCCAATCAGCAGAGCTACATTGCTGCCATCAGTGCTCGGTTTGTTCAGCTTCAGCATGGTGACATTGACAAGCGTGTAAGTTGCATACTGAGAAATCGCTCTGTCTTACAATAATGCGCCGCTCCAAAGCCCGCCACTCAACGGAGTTCAAACAGTTCAAACATTCTGTTCATTTCAGTACTAAGGATCGAACCCAGTGAGCCCCGAGACACACGCCAAACCCTTTTATTTTTAATTGTATTTAAGGTTAGGGTCTTGCTAAGTTGCCCAAGCTAGCCTCAAGGTCCCAGTCCTCCTGCCTCAGCCTCCCGAGTAGCTGAGGTTACAAGCATGCGCCTCTGTACCCAACGAGTTGCTCTGAATGCTGTGGGTTGTTGTTAACCTAATTATATTGATTAACACTATGCCAAACAAACACTCTGCTTTCTGCTTCTTAGAGCCAGGAGAACATCCTTGAAATGCAAAAATTTCAAACTTAGATTGTACTTTAAGTACAATATAAAAATTATAAATACAGATGTCATTTTAAAGCCATGTCAAAACTTTTTACCAGCGTGTAAATCCTAAGGATGTAACCACAGAGGCAGAGCTGCTTTTAAGAGCTTGTGCGTGAGCCAGGCCACCTGGGATTGAGTCCATTTTCCTCCCTTTGTCCTGTGCACCCCGGCGAATGAATGAGCTGTCTCTGTGCCACTTTTCCTTGTGTAGAAAGTGGAAGAGAACGTTAATGTGTCTCTCTTGATGGTTTGAGAAATTAATTCAAATATGTACAAGGACTTGAACACAACTTGACATAGAGTAAATGCCACTTAAATGTAAGTTTTCCTTCTTAAAATACATACATCTGTGTCCTAATTGACCTAAAATATTACACATTACCTCCTTCGTAGCGTTGCTTAGGTCATCACAGTGAGAAGCTGGGACTCCTGTGAGTTACCCCTGAAAGCCACTCTGAGTGACTCTGAGCACCGCATAGTCATGTAGAGCAAGAGAGAAGGTCAGCAAAGCTCAGTTGCTCCGTTGCGGATCAACTTCATACTAAAATCAGTGAGCAGTTCCTATGCATAGCTAATACTCTAAAGTACTTGCATGTACATTTACAGTGCAGCTGACATACCCTAAGAATATGGGATCGATGACTTTTTTATAGCTAAATGAAGTAACCATTGTTGTAGCTTTTCCTGTTTTGCCATTCAAAGTCTTTTTCTGTGACAGGGCAGCTGGTTAGCTAGCTCTGACTTGACCACAGACTCCACAGTCATGAATATAATTACTAAATCATCATCTCATTTGAAAAGAAGTACAGCTTAGATTCAGTTTATAAGTGCAAAGTCACTTTTGTTTGCAGTGCTATGTAAGATTTTGCCCAAAGTAAAAGGGGGAGGAGGTTATGCTTTCGTTCAGACAGGCATAGATGAGCTTTGTGAACTGGTTTGTATCTCAGAAATCCTCCAGCATTGTGGTGCACAATCACCTGGGTACTCGGAAAATGTACCTTCTGGGTCCCACCCCGAGACTCTGCTGTAATTTGGGTCACAAGCGGAGCTGCAGTGTATAAAATTCCCCAGCTGCCAGTAAGGTACAGCCAGGGCTAAGATCACTGATCTGGTCTAATCTGGATTATGACAGCAAGGAGGATAGATGGCTGGGGAAGGGATTTGCATCTGTATGGTAGAGGAATTGTTGCCATGTGATAGCTCATACTTCTTCGCTTGTGAGGTGGTAGTGAAGGACCCATTGCTTTGGACCACAACGCTGGTTCCTGAGCTACAACTCAGGCACAGAGCATGTGAAGTAAGACACATGAGCAACAGTGGAGTCTCGGGAATGCACTGAGCAACTTCCTGTAGCTCCGATAATGCATCCGAAGCCAAAGCTGAAAGTTGAGTGTGTCCTGGGGTCTGCCTGGGACCCTGGGCACTTGCGATGGCTTTTTGTACAGCATGGAATCAAGCATATGAAGTTCACTCTTTGTACTCAAGGCTGTGTGAAGAGTATGTGGAAGGCTTCATCCTTGGCTAAAACTTTATTGTGTATTTTTGTAACTATATTACCTTTGTGTAAATTGGAAAAACGTATAAGGAACTTAAAATTTGATACACTGTTTATTGTATAACTTTGAAAGTGCCTTCTTAAGGCATTGAAACACCTGCAAGAAAGTATTTTCTAAGATAATTTACTACAGAGATATATTTGGAACTTTAGCTGAAAGAATTTGAATCTTAAATATTTTACACATAACTAGTATAGTTTATATGCAGAAATATTAAGGCATATACACCCACATACATATCTCAAAGCTACATAGGATATTTGTTTGGAGGTAAAAATTACGCAGGCTCACAAGCGGTGTGAGGCTCATTTCCTGACTCCAGCACCTGGGTAACTCAGTCACCACAGTGTAAAATTCATTGCATTTTTCATGTGTCATCACATAAATAATATAATTCACAAGCTTCCTGATAGACCTTGAATTGAATTATGTTAATACCAAGTTACTCATTAAGTTTGAAATCTCATTTTTCTTCTTTGAAGTCTATGGTTTTAACTAAATTAACTACATAAGATAATATCTATACAGTTTTTAAAATACAAATAATGGAGATCATTGCGTGAGCCAGAGTTTCTCGCTAGTTTTATGTGAACTCCTGCGTGCCTGTCATTTTGTGAAGCATTGCAGAAATAAAGAGCACAAACCTGGGTTTTGAGTTGCTTAAAATTGTACCATAAAAAAAGAAGTAATCATGAGAAAGAAACCCAGAAGGCATGTGTAAATACACCACATTTACTCATAAAAGACTTACAAGGTCTTGCCTTTGTGCCCGGGCTTCTGCTAGGCACGGAAGGCTCAGTGCTGAGCTGACTGCTTCTGGCCCAGTGCCCATCAGTCTGTAATCCAACAAGATGAGACCCAGGAACTCTCACATCATTCCTTGACTCTTTGATTACAGTAATATTATTCCTTGATTACAGTTAAAAGGATGATAATAAATAACGGCCTAGCAAAGCTAAGATGGAATTCATAAAAGAAGTTAAGCAGTAAAGATTGAGCATGAAACCTTTCAAATTCAGATTGCAAATCATTTTAAAAATCGGAGACCAAACCAGGCATGGTGGTACCTGCCTGTAATCCCAGCATTCAAGAGACTGAGGCAGGTGGATCTCTGGGAGTTCACAGCCAGCTTGGGCTACAAAGTGGGTTCAAGGCTGGCCTAAACTATATAGCAAGACCCTGTCTCAAAAAGACAGAAGAATGGATGAGTGAGTCAATCAATCACTATAAAAGACCAGTGGAAAAGTTAAAAGTCCCTTTACTGGTAAAGAGAACTTACTGTTCAGGTTTATAAAAACAATCAAGAACAGAAGTAGAAAGATACACAAGAGGTACAAACATGGAATTCAGAAGCAAGATGTCTGTACGCTGTGGATATAATCCATAAAACATTTACAGTAGCACTAATCGCGAGACACCGACAGCCTGTTCCATTCATTGCCTTCCTCCCAAGTGTTTATTGTGCAGTTGTCATTTTTGTCAAGTGTTTTTCAGTTCATCACTGTTGTTCTTACAAATACTATTCACTATTCACTTTCTGGGCATGCACAAGTATTTTGGTAGCCTACATTCATAATACAAGTTTTTTGTTTGTTTGTTTTTGTTTTTGTTTTTACCGCAGGCCAACTATACTTTATGTCAAGCCCTATCCTTCAGAACACTTGATTTTCTGTCCACTCCTAAGAGCAAGGCTAAGCTCGCTGGCTCCCCGGTCCAGGCAGACAGTCTAAGCTTCCCTTCATGAGGTTATTACAGCAGGAAAGCAGAGCTATCTCAGCTAACAGTCTCTAGTGGTAATTCACAGTGTTCTCCAGGTGCCAGGCATTGGATTATGGTTTTTTTCATATATAATTTAATCCTCACAACTCAGACAGATTCTATTATTCTCATTACAGTTAAAGAAATGGAGACTGAGGGGTTTTTATCCTTTAAAGTTGTCTGTGGTCTGATGTCTTCTGCTGAGTAGGCCTTCACCACGGGATTTCACTTTATATTGTGTAAATTCACAGAAGTCTAGACAGGCCCTTAAGTAGATTAGCCACGGTTCTGGTTTGTACCATTTACTTCCAAGCAAGCCGGGGCTCACCTGTGGCACAGAAGCGCCTCCGAGTTAGCAACCATTAGGCTTCCGCCGTGCCACGGGTGGGACAGAATGACGGAAAAAAGGTGTGAGACCGTTTGCCTTCCGTGGCTGCGGGTGTGTTCTCCTCGCAGTCACCGCCCCCTGAAGGTGCTCACACACAAGTGTTAGAAGTGTGTTCTTCAGGAAAGATGAGGGGGCTGTCTTGCAAGTGAGATTTTTATAGTCTTTAAAGTATTTCCTGGCTTTAAAAAAAAAAAAAAATACACTAAAAAACATTTGTAGTCCTCTGGAAAAAAGATATGAGAATAAAGAAATTAAATTAATTGTTCATTATTGAACTGCATGGCCAATTAGAGACAGAACGTATTAGATGTAGGACTATACCTGACATACAAGTAATGCTTTTTGTTTTGTTTTGTTTTCTTACTTACTGAACGGCAAAACGAAAGCCCAAGCAAGCTTGCTGCTTTGTCCGCTTTCGTGGCAGGCCTTTCCGGGGGCCGCCCGCCCTCTGTAAAGCTCTCCCCAGTCGGTTCTGAAGTGGGCGCAGGGAAACGTTTTCCTTCTCTCGTTTCTAGGTGGAGGTGAAGCCATATGTGCTGGATGACCAGATGTGTGATGAGTGCCAGGGTGCGCGCTGCGGCGGCAAGTTTGCCCCCTTTTTCTGTGCCAACGTCACTTGCCTGCAGTATTACTGTGAGTTTTGTTGGGCGAACATCCACTCTCGTGCGGGACGCGAGTTCCACAAGCCATTGGTGAAGGAGGGTGCTGACCGCCCGCGGCAGATCCACTTCCGCTGGAACTAAGCGGCGCCGGGCCTCTGCTAAGGAGGAGGGAAGGGTGCATGTGGCTCACTGTGTCTGGAGATACTGGCCTGCAGAAGAAGTAAGTGCACTCTTCTGCTTTTCACCCCAGCTGTCAATGCGTGCATCTTTATCAGCAGCCAAAACACTACAAGCCTCTTGTTTTTCACCAAAACCCTACATCTCAGGCTTACTAATTTTTGTGATATTTTCATGTTAAAATAAAATGTTTTTTTGTATTTTCTCCAAGTTATTTTTATATGTAAAGTTAAAATTAGATACGAGAATGTTTTGCGTAGGGGCGACACAGTCTGCTGCTATATAGTGGGGGAAGCGTGCACTTACTTCTAAACATGGGTTTTTAACTTCAAGATCTGCCCCAGTACTTTACCAAAGGTAGCAAAATAATAGTGAAGATGGAATATGTCTGCTACAAATGCTTATTTTTATTGTTGCTATTTTCAGTGTATACATAAACTAAAAATTAGGGTTGATTTTTTTGCTCTCCATTTTGACTTGCAAGAAATAATACCTCAAGATAATCTGATTTATTAGCTATTTTTAAACATTTTTAATCACAAGCTGTACTAGCTTTGCTGCTATATAGGTGTTATGTGTAAATGCCACCTATTGATACGGGATCGCAGTTGGAGACACTGCCTTGCGGATGGAATGCAGGCGGCGCGGCGTGGCCTACGCTGCCGTAGTTTTAGAATGTGAAAACAATGCATGTTTACTTACCCGTCCACACCATATGCATGCACTAGAATATTAACAAGAGGTGGGGTGTTGCAGATGCTCAAAAAGCTCTCTTGAGTCTAGGTAGCATGAACAAATGATAAAATTTGTTTAAAAAAAGCAAACTTGCATGCATTTATTGTGACTTCAAGTTAAAAATGTTGTCCTACATGTGTAAAATATGCAAATTAGTTTTAGATTAGAGAGTGCAGCCATTTTGTGATCTGGTCGGTAGTGGAATTCGATTTTATGCAGACTGGATGTAATATTTGTAATCCCTGTGCAATTCTGTGATGTGCGGTTCTAATTCATGTGCAGTGATATAGTATAGATAAAAGACTGAATAAAAGAAAAATACAGGAATTCTAAAGAAAGTTGATTTTAGCCCCTCTGATAGTTCATGGTTCAGACATCCGTTATAAACCAAAGATGGCCAGCACACTGCTAACCAGTCACCGAATGTAAGACCCACGCGAAACCATATTTTAAAGAATGAATTTTATAGAAGAATGCAGAACTTTAGCAAACCTAAGTAAAGTCAAAATGGAGATGGGGAACTACACA